CCTTTTACCGTAAATAACGGTCAATATGTGAGATATATAATTGAAATTAGGAGGCAATCTTTTTCTGATAACGGTATGTCTATATGTTGAAAATGGGTTGAAACGGACGAAGGTTTCTCAACGCCATATACCAAATATAAAGATTTTGGAACTTCTGGTTTACTTTATACCGCATATATCGGCTAATATATTATATAATTAAATATTTCGGCTTGGTTGAAAAATTACAAATGCTTTTTATTACAAAAAGTTAAAATATATGTTAAAAGTAAAGTAAAATAAAAAAATTTGAAAAGAATTAAAAAGAAAATTTGAAAAAAATATATTTAAAAATTTTTAAAACCTTTTTTTTATTACTTTTATTATTAAAAAAAATTACATAATGTTTTTCTATGTTAAAAAAATTAAAAAATTATTTTGTAGAAATTAAAAATAGATTAAGCTAAAATTTATTTAAAACAAATTTTTTGAAATTTATTAATTGCGATGTTCAAATACAGAAGTTATTTTTTTGCAAATTTTTTAATTTCGAATACCAAATTAATCCCTAAAGTTTCTGCTAGGCTTCAGGCAACTAAACCTGATAGTAATTGAGCGACTAATTAAAATAATAATTTCTTTTACTCAAATAAGCATTGCACCTCAACGACTTCAGAAACCTTTTAACTCATGAATTTTTCCTTGCTTTCCTAAACTCAAACAATGATTACTAATACTTCTTTAAAATTTATTTACATAAATATTCCCGAGGCCTTTCGTACTTTGTACTTCTATCATTTGCGCAGTTTATCTAGCCATAACTCATATTTGTTTCTTTCTTTTGCTTCTATTTTTAATTCATTTAAATAATTTATTTGAGTTTTTTGCTTGTTGCCAGCTCCTTTTACTTTCTTCTGCCGCTAACTAAGTAATTGATTAATTAAGGTCGAAGTAGCTGTAAGTGTATTAACGCTTGGTTGTGCGGAGCGTCGCGCAACTACAGCTACAACAGGAATTTTGAATTATTAATGCTGCGTAAAACAGTTAATTAGAAAGGCAGACCGGATTTTCTTCCCTGAACTGAAGCAAAAGCGCAAGAAAAAAAAAAGTCGCATAGGCGTTAGAATAGAATTTGAAAAAGGAATAAAATGAAGTTGAAAACTTAGTTAAAACTGCAAATTTTCGGCGCCAAAACGTATGCTATGATAAGTTGATTAATTTTGACTAACTTCGGTTAATTTAAGATAATTTATGTTAATAACGAGGTGGGATTGCTTATATACTACTCTGAACCGTTTCGGCTTAAAACGAAAGTAATATTTAACAATTATGTCTTAAAAAAAACATATTTAAAATGTCAAAATGTATCTTCTTACCAAGTCGTACTTCCTTTTCACCTAATATTTGCCTCAAAATCAATTATGCTTAATTAATATTTTTACAACATGCTTTCCCAAACTTCCCACAAAGAATCGGCAACAACTTTTCGCAAAGTTTGTTTTTGTTATTGTAAAAGTTCTATTATGATTTTCCACTCGAATCAAATGATACAACAAAAGTTGCTCATACGCACTGTAGCACATGATAATATACGCCTTGTATACAAAAGTTGAACATTTGTGCTTCAATTATTGCCCCTTGCTTTTACTTTGCTATATTTTTGTATCTTTTCTCTTGAGTTTCCGAAGCAAAAACAACAAAAAAGTTAATACAAGAAATTTGAAATATAAAAGAAAAACAACTTCCTAGCATTGTGTAATGGCACCAAGCACAAAAACTGTTTATAAATTCATGTTAGTTCAATATTTTCTTCAGCACAATACAGACTAAAAAGTCTAAATACCAAATTAGGCTCTGTTTTATACATATAAAATTGTTTCTGTATTAAATTTTTTTATTTGGTTTATAATTATACATGTTTCAAACTAAAAATATTTAAACTTTGCATGCAAATTATATATTATATATCAAATATATGCAAAATATAAGTTTCATAACAGAATCCGTGCTTTAAATATAAGAACAAATATATTTTTTTATTTTCATTAATTTTTACTATTTTCTACTACTTTTTTTCAAGATTTTATAATGTTTTGAAATTTTTTTTATTATGTATACCCCGAAATTGTAATTTTAAAAATTTCTAAAGCTTTTGTAAAAAAAATGTGTTTATTTATTTTAATTTAATTTTATATAATATAAAAAAAAAAAAATTTTAATGAAAAATAGTTGTAGCCTTTTAAATAATTAATTTTACCCTAGAAAATATATACTATGAAAAAAAAGTAGTGTTCTCAGAAGTTGGGTACATTTCAGAAAATTTTTAAAAATTTTAACGTTGCAAAAGAAATTTAACTTTTGAAAACAAAGTCTCGAAATTAAAAAAAAATGTTTCGTACAATTTAGGACCTATTTTATATAAGCATTTTGAAAAAATGTAAAACTTAACATCGCGTCAGCTGTACAGATATGAAAACAAAACCATTTAAAATTGACTACCATATTAAAAATTTTTTTTTTAAATTTGTTTTGCACTTTTGTATTAATATTTAATTACTCCGGAATATAAATAATTTTGAACTTGAAATATTAAAAGAAAAATATTTAATAATTACTACCATTTAAAAAAACAAAATTGTTAGTATTTTGAAATTTTTTCTTTAGTATTTTACTATTTCTAAAACTAAAAGTTATATTTTATTTAAAAAAAATTGGATTTCAATAATACACAATCAAAAATTAAAAAAACTTCAAAAATTTCAATTTTGAAAATTAAATTTCGAAACTAGAAAAATAGATCATTTAATTAAATAATTACGATAATATGTAAAAAATAAAAATATTTTTAATTAACCGCAAAAATATATAAAAAAATTGTTGTATATACATATTTCAAAAATTTTTTAAAAATTTCAATTTATAAAAACTAAATTTCAAATTTATTTAAGTAAATTATTGCGATATTTTATACAAACATTATTTTTATTTATTTCAAAAAAAATTGAAAAATTTGAGTTACAAAAATATTTTTTATCATAATGTATTTAAAAAAATTGTGCTAATAAAAATTATAAATACTATTTATCATTTATATTTTATTTTGCATTTTTTTTTTATTAACATTTAATTATTTCTGAATACAATTAATTCTGAATTTTTTAATTAATTTAATTTGCAAAGCTCTCATGAGGAAAAAAATAATTGCTTAATGCAATTTTCAATTTTAATTTAATTTTCGCAAAATAAATATTTATTTCAACATGCCGTTATTATTGTACTAGTAAAAAAAATTAATATATTTTATCAGTTTTCAGTTCTAATTGAGGTGAATTTAAATTTTTTAATTAATTTGAGAAAAAAAAATAAATATTTGTTTCAATATACCGTTAATAATGTGCTATTGTAGGAAACAAAATGTAATATTCATTAATTTTCAGTTTCATTTGAGAAAAAAATTTAAATAATTTGTATATAAAATTAATTATTAAACAAATGTCATTAAATAAAAAACATTAAAATATAACTAAACTCTGTTAATTTTTTTAATAGAAACTTAATACAAAAAAAAATATTTAAAAATTAGAGTAATATTATCATTATTATTATTTTCATTATTTATTTAATTTGTAGTATTTTTACATTTTTATACTTTTTGTTATTAATTTATTTAATTTTTTTGCTTTCTTTTAATTTTTAAATTTTTTATATCCCACAAACAACTTGTTGGCGACTACAAAATCTTAAATTATTAAAAAAAATCTTAAAAACAAAAAAAACACTTTAATTGCATTAAAACTGCAAATTCAAAAATTTCCCAACATTTAGCAACGATTGAGATGCTGCACTGTAAGAAAGATGAGATTAAAAATTTCGCATTTTATATTTGTACTTTCACAAGTTATTTGCGCGAGCAATTTACTGAAAATCACGTACGCAGCCATGTAGTGCGCCTTAGCGAGCAACGCCACACGAAAATATCATTGAAAAACAAATAAAAGCAGGGAAGCATGTAATTTCTACACGTGTGAGTGTGTGTACAAGTAAGACATATACACTTAAGTTTGCGCCATTTGAGCTCAAACTGATTAAGTAATTGTTTATGGGAGCCCAAAGCAAGCACGAAAAACAAACTAAAAAACATTAGCAAAATAAACTTTCGAAAAAAACGCCCACTGCGTATAAGTAATCTGAAAAAGATGTACCGTTATTGTATGCGCACATGCATACTTATTGGTATTATTATGTTTATGATTACCCTTAGAGATTATTTATATTATCTTATGAGCTTTATATGAACTTTGAAATTGCTTTTGTGCCGGCGTACGCGCAAGAAACTAAAATTCAGAGAGAGTGCAGAAATTAAGTCGGGAAAATAATATGAAATTCCTTTTCGTGTATTTCACAAATACATATTAATTTTATTTACTGCTGTCAATATATATGTGTTGGCTCCTAGCTGGCCACTACACATTTCCTGCTGCCTCACCATTCTCTCTTGCCACCCTTACTCTTTTCACTCAAACAACGTCTCTCTACTCATTTTAAGCGGTTTATTATTGTTGTTTGATTTGTTGTTGCCTTTGTAGATTTATGCTTTATTGATATATTATTAAATGTGCAAAGATGCGAGTGTGTTTGCGTGTGTATATGTGGCATTTGGCTAACACTGTTTGGCATTACAGTTATTTCGCCTTTGTGCACACTACACAAATACTCGCATATATTCCACAGAGTTGAGCTGACAAAGGAAATGTGTCAAGGAGATGGCAAAATAATTACATAGAGCATTCGTAGTATCCTTCATGCGCTTATATGCATACCTACGGCAACATATATATGTATAAGTACATGTGTCCGTATAGAGACGGACTTCAGTAAAGGACCTCAGTAGTTGTGGGTATGAGTGAAGTTAAAAATGTATGAGTAAATATGCTTAATAAACATAAACCCACTTAGTGTGCGTAGAGGTTTAAAAAAATTTAAAAAAGGTATTCAAAAATATTTTTCCTTTTGCCTTTCAGAACCTTCGCCATTGTACGACAACAACCACTATCACGAGGAATGCCTGCGCTGCAATTCGTGCGGTCTAAATTTGACAGGACCAAATCAGAAGCGCGCCAGAAGGTTCAAGGCAAGTGCGCAAAAGTGACTAATACGATTATAATACAAATTTTACACACACGTACACGTATTAAAACAACGAAAAAAAAAATTTTTGTACTAAAAATTCAGTACTAAAAAATGTATAACGAAGAATAAGATAAAATAGAGATACAATTATTTTTCAAATTTAGTACCAGATTACACTTTCTATAGCTTAGCTGAGTGCCCAATTATCAGCTAAAAATTTAGTACAAAATTTTGTGCTAAACATTAGTACTCTAATATAATGTAGCAAAAGTTTAGTTTCAGAAATTAAAACATTTATCAACAAATGAAAAAAAACTGCAAAGTTTTTAGTACTTAGTGTAAGATATTTTTAGTACTAAAAAAATTGGTACTCATTAATTTTAGATAAGAGCGTGTTTTAAAAAATAAAGCCAGCTTTTAGTTCACTAATTAATTTAACACTATTTTAATTTAACACTAAAAATCTGTTCCTCTAAACTTAGTGATATTGAAATATGACATTACATATACACAAAATAAAAATTTGGCACGGTTTTAGCAATAAAAATTATAAACAAAATGCAAAACATTCTCGAATTAGTTACAATGCTTTTTGTTTAAAATTATGTATAAAACTGTAACACTAAATATGTACACATGTATTTCGATTTTAAGACTAAATTTTCTACTCAAAAATTTTAGTACTGAAACTCATATCAAAATTGTATTATTTTCAAATAAAATTATGTAAAAGTTTTAGTTCTAAAATTTTTATATAATATATATACATATATATATATACAAGTATGTATATATTTTGTTAAAAAATACAAAGTGTTAAATTGAATAAATATTCGTGTAATTTTTAATTGTAATGTTATCTTTACTTAGAAGTTGTCTACTAAAAATTTTAGTACAAAAAATTTAGTACTAAATTTTTATAAAACTTCTAATATCCATTAGTTTTGGGACTTACAACTTAAAAAATATTCTGAAAATCTTCTTCAGTCTAGTACTGAAAGCTTTAGGCCGAAAAATGTTGCACCGAAAAGTTTAGTACAGCATTTTGGTAGAAATATTTAGTGCTTAACTAAATTAATATATTTTTGTTTGTGATCGTATACCAAAAATGTTGGTACTATATATTTATTTCATTATTTAACTTTTCGTGCGCAATAGTTTTAGAACTTAAAACTCATTCTAACTTAGAACCAGAAAGATTAGAGTATGCACACGTACATTCATACATACACGCAGTACATGCACTCTTGTTTCAAAAACTATGAAATATGCTTAGAATTCAACCAACCCCCGATTGGCCACAAATCACTTAATACCAAGTTATGCAAAGTTTCCGCAATCGTCACTCGCACAAATCGGCACTGGCAGCTGCGCATACAGTTCAAACCACAATAGAACTTGTTACCAAACTATTTACACCAGCAAAGGAGCGCGCATGGAGGCGCAGCGAGTTTAGCAAGAATCGTATGTGTATTCCTTTTTCACGCGCTTATACACTTATTTACGTCAAAAACACTCGAAAAGTACTCGTATCGCCATTTTCTAAGCTAAGTAAGCGCTCAACGGGCACGTGCAGTTCGATTTTAGTCAGCAGTGCACGGATGAACAGCGAGGGAATTGCGGGCATACATGGAAGCAATCTCAACAATTCCCAAATAAATGCTTATATAACTGTAAATACACATATGTACATAGGATATGTGGTACATGTTTGCGACCACAGCAAAACGAGCGAGATGACGGGGAGGCGTGCATTTCGGCTGGTTTGCGCTGCCACACTTAAATAAATAAATGGCAAAGCCGCATAAAACTTTTCACCAAAAACGTACACGACCGGCACACGTTGACACGAGGTGGTGGCAAAAGTTTACAACAATTTTTGGATTCTGTTTTGCAGTTTTCGCTTACTTTTGTTTTCGGGTTTTTCTATACTTCTGAGCACACTCGCGTAGAGTCTGCCGCAAGCTACAAATTCATCATTCACTGGCGACGTATATGTAAGTGCTGCTGCGTTTTATTACTTGGGAAATAAAAACATATGGAGAGGTTACTTAAGTGAATTAGTTTTCTAAATATTTCAACAGGTCTTCTAAGTACTCAATATCCCACTCCCAGTGTGGTGGTCAAAATGACTTGAGAATATATGTATTTCGGAGGAGCGAAAGTATGTTTGGAGCACTTTGCTTAAGAACGTAAAAAAAAGTTAAAATCATTAGTGCTAAAAATGTACTCAAAAATTGGTACTAAAATTTTTTTAACTTTTAAAAATTCTTGAAAAAATAAATACATAGGAAAATCTATTTTATAACGGTTAAATTTTATTTTAAAATTAAAAAATTTGGCACTGTAAATGTACTAAAAAGCACTTCAAAAATCTAAAGTTGTAAAAAACTCTTGCATTAAAAGAATATGTGAAGTGGTAATTTCTTTTCCTTTTAATGTTAATAGTTAACACATATTAATATTAGTACTACAAAAATATTTAGTACTAAAAAATTATTTTGGTACTAAAACTGAAAACTGTGGTACTTAATGTTTAAGTTTTAGTACTAAGATATTTGTTAAGACAACAAACATATTTAAATTGTAGTAAAGTAGTACTAAAATTTATCGAAAGTAGTACTAAAATTTATCAACATCATTTTGGTACTATTTAAAGATTTTGTTAAAGTGAACTATATTGGGATATAATAGTACTAAGATACCGAAAGAAATTTAGTACTGAAAATAGTACTAAAATTTAGTATACATTTTTTCTATTATTCGAAAAATTACTGTAAATAAAAGAATTTTAGGCTGTAATTACCAAAAAAATTAGTACTAAAATTTAGTACATATTTTTACTTTAAGAATTGGACAAATTATTGTAATAGAAATATTTTAGACTAATGGTACTAAATTATCGAAAAAGTTTAGCACCGAAAATGGTACTCAAATTTAGCACATATATTTTCCTTAATCAGTGAACAAATTATTGTAAGTAAAATATTATTAGGCTATCATAGTATTTTTTCTTTTATAATTAAACAAGTTATTGTAAAAAAAATAATTTTAGGCTATAATATCACTAAATTATTTTAAAAAAAGAATTAGTATTAAACATTTTTTCTTTAATACTTAAAAAATTACTGCAAATAAAAGAATTTAGGCTGTAATTATACTAAATTATCGAAAAAATTAGTACTAAACATAGTACTAAAATTAGTACACAATTTTGCAAAATAATTAAATAGCTTACTGTATTATTAGACATTATTATATAACTCGAAACATTTTCATACAACTTCGAATGCACTCGGCAACACACTTCTTAGGAAATGTAAGAAAAAAATTTAACTTTTGTATATTACAAAGCAATACAACTCAACCAGAATCTGCACAACCACATTTTTGCTTAGATTAAATTCTCACCTTTCTACCCTTACAGAACCACATACTCTGCGACCTGCACTTCGCAGACGTTGCCCTAATGGAGTGCTCCGATTTTATGCAACAGCTGAGAAGCTTCAAGCCACAATCACTCGGTTGCGCCGTTGCGAGACGAAAAAGTTCAACAACGTTTTTTTTCCCATTGCCGCCGCAGGCATGTTCAGGTATGTACGCTCATGAGCATATTTATATAAATATATGTACATACATATGTATATAGTAGTAGGAGTATGAGTTTCAAAGCGAAAGTTACGCGTTAACTTTGCTTGAATTTTTTAAATTAAAATCTTAGACGTGGATATTTAACCCAACCCTTTGTGAGGGAAAGAATTCGCAGCGCCATGTTACTGGTAAAAGAAAAAGTCGCGGGAAAAAAAATTATGAAAGAAATGTTTGAAAAATACGCCAGACATCTGGTGGTGAGTGCTAAAATTAAATATAAAAAAATGTTGACTCAAAGTGGAGAGTGAGGAGGGAGAAGCGACCATAGCACAAAGCGAATATTGCTTTGTGTTCGCGGCTTAGAATTCCCGTTATGCGCGGAACTTAATGTAATACAGTTGGAAACGTTTTTTATTACAAAGCTGCATTCTCTATTCAACGGTTAAGAAATTAAACAAGAGTCACTAAAGAGCATAAGTTTTCAAATATAGAGTTGACGAAAGCTGCACTTTTGGCTTAATAACATAAAAAGCAATTGAAAATAAAATTTAAATAATTAAGCAATAACATTTAATATGAAAACATGTAAACAAGTTTACGAATGCTTCAATTTTTAGTAAAAAAATGGATAATACTATATGTAGATACCGCCATTTCGTAAAATTCAAATGTTTAGTACAAAGACTTTAGTACTTAAAGTAGTTCCAAAAGTAAACTTATTCTTTTTATACAAAAGGCTGTCGAAAAACTTATATTTTAGTACTAAAAATTATATAATAAACCTTAAATTCAAACACTCTTTACTAAAAAATGTTGTACTAAAAATTAAGTACTAAATATGTACTAAAAAATCTAAATACAAAAGAAAAATACATAATATTTAATGCCTTAAAAAAAATTTTAAAGAAGTTTTAAGTGTACTAAAAATAATAACACTAAATATTTTAGTAATATATTATTTAATAATTCTTTTTTTCTTTATAAAACTTTTGACTTTTAGGTCTCAAATTCCAACTTATATACTTTAAATTAAAATTTTTGCTTCACAATTGGCTTCACTCACACTAAAATACCTCTCCTCGTCAAAAAATATGTTTTACTTTTTTCCCGGCGGAAATTCTTGTTGAACATTCGTACCAATTTTTATTTTTCTTGTTTTTCTGCTTCGTCTGGCCACTTCATCACGCTTATTGGCCGGCATTAACTCGCTCTGATTCTCACCCTTTTTTAGACTTTTATGCGTCATGTGCCTACTCTCGTGTTTTCTTTACCCTTCTTATGAACTCAAGCGGTCAGTCGCGCTTAACGCTTTAAAGAACGCCAATGGGTAATAGCAAAATAAGGAATTGGGGGTGGAATAACAATTCAAATGAATGTAAATAAATTAAAATGTGTAAATAATACATTTTAAAACTTGATTTTAAAAAATTTAAAATAATTTAAAAGCTTTATTAATAAAATTTAAATTACAATTAAAAATTTACAACAACACTAAAAAATTATAAGAAACAAGTAAGGAAGGGCTAAGTTCGGATGTAACCGAACATTTTATACTCTCGCAAAGTCAAATAGTATACTCGTTTGAGATTTCTTTGTGGATTGGCTGATATTTTCGGTAGAAGGTCAACTATAGGCACTGGGGTCCACATATTTAGTACTTAGGGGCTTAAACAGTTTTGGTTCGATTTAGACAATTTTTGGCCACAAGGTGGCATACTTTAATCGCATTATTCACGCAAAGTTTTATCCCGATACAGTCAATGTTGCCTGATTTGCATAGTGGAAAGTGAAATAATCAGATGGAATTTAAAATGGTGTTATATGGAAAGTAGGCGTGGTTGTAGTCCGATTTCGCCCATTTTTGCACTGTGACATAGAAACATGAAAAGAACGTTATGCACCGAATTTGGTTGAAATCGGTTAAGCAGATCTCAAGATATGGGTTTTCACCTAAAAGTGGGCTGTGCCACGCCCACTGTCTAATTTTGAACGCGGTTCCTATAAAGTCATCTCATACCATCCCAGAGATAAAATTTAATGACTCTGGCGTGTTTAGTGCTTGATTTATCGCGCTTTTAGTAGTTTTTAACAGTACCGTTATATGGGGAGTGGGCGGAGTTGCCACCCGATTTCAACTATTTTCACACCATCAATAGAAGTGCTAAAAACATTTGCTTCCAGTGAATTTTGTTATTATAGCATTAGCGGTTTAGGAGATATGCACATTAAACCTATTAGAGGCGGGACCACGCCCACTTTTTTAAAAAAAATTTTAACTGCAGATGCCCCTCCCTAATGTGATTCTGTGTACCAAATAACAGTCTTGTATCTTATTGCGGAGCTTAGTTATGGCAAGTTATTTGTTTTTGATTAATGGCGTTTTGTGGGCGTGGCAGTGGTCCGATTACGCCCATCTGCAATACCAACCGTCTCACGGTACCGTGAAACATGTCTACCAAGTTTCATAAAGATATCTCAATTTTTACTCAAGTTAGAGCTTGCACGGACGGACGGACAGACGGACAGACGGACGGACGGACAGACAGTCACCCGGATTTCAACTCGTCTCTTCATCCTGATCATTTATATATATATAACCCTATATCTAACTCGATTAGTTTTAGGTGATACAAACAACCGTTAGGTGAACAAAACTATTATACTCTGTAGCAACAGGTTGCGAGAGTATAAAAATTTATATAATATTATAGCAAAGAGCATGTAAAAACAAAAATCACAAAAAAATGTTAAAAGTGTAAGAAAAAGTTTTAAAAATTAGTCAAAAAATAATTCAGACACATTACGTAATTTATAAAACTAAAAATATAACAAAAAATAAAAACTAGAAATAATATTAAAAGAAGCATAAAAAATATATGACCAAACAATATTATAGAATGTTTCAAAAATAAAACAAAATTTCTAAACTAAAATTAAAATGTAAGGACAAATTGAAATAAATAAAATATAATACATTTAAATAAAAAAAATTACAACAAAAACATTTTTAATTAAAAAAATTAAGGATAATAATCCAAATTAAAATTATAGTATAAATTTCAAAAAATTTATAGAAAAAATTATACTAGATTCAAAAACATTATTTATAAAATTAAAAGTAAATAAACAAAAATAAAAGCATATAAACATAAAAATTATATAAATTAAGAACAAACAATTATTGTTATAAAATATCAAAAATTTCCAAACTGATCCAAGATTTCAAAAATACGAATAGGAGCTTTTAAAAAGCACCAAATTGTCATAGAAATGTTAAAATTATTTTACACTTTACTTCAAATAAATTAAAAACTAAATAAACTAAAATAAAAATAATAATAATATTTCGAAAAATAAGAAAAAAATAATTTTTTCTTAAAATAAAAAAAATAATAATATTTCGAAAAAGTAAGAAAAAAATTATTTTTTCATAACTTCGCAACCCAAGCTTACCAACAGCTGCTACAATTTTAATTTTGCGTATAAAACCCGATAATATTTCTACAAATACCAACCTTACCATATTCATAATCTCACGTACACCGTGACGTATGCGCAACATTTTGACGCATATGGCATTGAAATAACCCTAGCAAAGCATGCTTTGCAACAGAAATAGCACATAATACCATTCACAATATGAATTTACCACATTTACGTGCTAACTGTAAGCAACGCAACGCCAACCCGCCATGACGTATAAGTAATATTTTATGCTAAATTGACGTCTAATGCCTTAACTCAACTGCAACTTGCGGAGTAGCGCACCAAACGGTCAGCATATGAAGGCAAAAGGAATAACTAGTGATGACATTAATTATGAAAGCAGCTTAACAGCGCTGCTGCAGCGCATTGTCTACCTGCAGGCGCGCTTGCCAACCTACTCGCTTGCGTCAAAGCGAAAACAAAGCAAGGCAAAAATATACAACACGTTAACGAATTAAAAATAAAAGCGCACAACATGCACACACACACACATACGCATTTGGTACATTATAGAAGGTAAACACAATTAAGACGTGCAAAACAAAAGGGTAACAATAAAAGTGCATAGATATAGCAACTTAAATATCGGTTGCTTGTGTGGGTGTGTTGGGGTATGGCGCACATCTGTGCGAAAATAAATGGCAGACACTGTTGTAATATGCATTTTTTATATAACTGTTGTATCATTCAGCAAAATAAGAAAAACAGAAAAAACAAAAACGTTAACTACGCGACATTTGCAACATAATGAGCCCTAATGCATTTAACTACAACAATAACATATATACACACACCCACACAGACATAAAAAAGTAAAAACCGTTATACTGCCGGCAGCCAACTGCATTTTTATTAATGCATGCCTTGTATGTGTACTTGTAGGAATGTGCGCTTATAATATTGCTGCTGCTAATGTGCCGTTAGTTGGCAGCGTAATTGTGCGCAAGCGAGCATGCAAAATGGTAGGAGAGTTGAAAAATGAAAGCACAGTTCACTGCAGGCGGCATGTGTAAAGCAGCACTAATTGTATTGCTTGTTTGCACACAAACGTGCGCTCATTACAAATATGTACATATGTATGTAAGCAGTTGGGCACAAGAGCTGGTTATGTAAAAATTTGCTGCACCCAGGTTAGTACTAAGAACTATAAGAAAGCTTTTGAAGTAAAACAAAACGTTACTCGATGAAAATCAGCTTTCTAGATATTTTAGTAATTTTTTTAGTACTCAAATTGCTAACATGAATGAAATGTAGATTTATGCATGAACATAGTCATATATTAAGAGCTTGAACTTAGATAAAGATTTAAAAAATTTAGTACTAATTTTAGTACTTACATTTTAGTACAAAACGTGCCAATATGCATTAAATTAAAAATATTCTTACGTATACCGGGGCCAAAACTGAAATAAACAGCTCATAAAAATTTTAGTACTGTTTTAGTACTCAACTATTAGTACTAAAAATTGCTAACATAAATCAAATGATGAGCTTCAACAGAAACTAACATCTAAAA